TCTTTTAGTATGTCAGACATGGGACATAGGTGTCTTTCAATCCCAGAATTCTGGGTACCTGTGAGGCTACTAAAGTGGCATTTTGATAAAGAAGTTGCTGAGAATTGAAATGAGAGCCTCATTCACACTAAGCATGTGCTCTATCACTGAGCTACACCTACAGCCGTTAAACAATGGGTCATTTTCATAATCAAGCTGCTAGACCAATAACACAGTTAGAGCAACTGGGGTCTATTTGGTCAAAAAGATGGAGTTATTTTCCACACAGAGTAGCAAATATTTGGGTGGGTAATAACCAGAGTAAATAGCTGCTATTGAGCAGTGTAGCCTGATAGCACAGAAGTCTAACTGATAGCCCTGGTTGTGTGAATTCCATGGGATTTAGAGAAGGTTCTGTGATGATGTAGTTTAAAGCAGAAACACCAAGTTAAGACCATTAGTCAAGGCTGCTGGGAGTTGTCTGGAGGCCAGTGGTGCAGGGCTGAACATCCTCAGGCACAGCAGTCATGTTACAAAACAAATTTACTATTCAGACAAACATGACAGCAAGAAGGTTGAATACTGGCATGTCATGTTGCCCAAGGACATATATAGGCAAGTTGGTCCCTAAAACCCATTTGATGTCTGAATCTGAATGGAGAAATCTTGGCATTCAGCAGAGTCAGAGATGGGTCCCTTGAATGATTCATGAACCAGAACCTTAAATCTTACTGTTCCTGTGGCCACTACCCAAGAAGCCAAAGAAATAAAGCTGGAGAACCACATCTCAGCTTCAAGTTGTACACAGTTGTCCTTACTTCCTACCACCTTTCTGATCGCATGCTTATATTGCCTTCTTATTTCTCATTTTGGTATTTAAAGGGTGTTTGTTTGATAACACTGTGTGAATGTGCTGGTACCTGCTTTGCTTCTTGAGTTGAGCCCGCAATGCCACAGTCCTGTCAGATGAGTGTGACCTCAACGCCCTACTGTGCTCTGTAGCACGAATCTTAAAAGTCTTATTAATAAAACCAAACCTGGTACCAGGTATTGGGGTGAATGCTGGAAGATCAGAGAAGCAAAACAAGCCACAGCTTCCTCACCTCACCAATTCCTCAGCTGATCCTGTTTCCTCAGACTGAATGCCTCTGTGTCCTCATCCAAAAGAATCTCAGCTGAACTGCTACTCAAAAGCCTAAAAGCTTAACCAGGCAAAAGCTTAACCAGCTCTAGTTCCTCGTCCTCACGCCTTAAATACCTTACTGCTTCTGCCATTACTTCCTAGGATTAAAGGCGTGAGTCACCATGCCTGGCTGTTTCCAGTGTGGCTTTAAACTCACAGAGATCGGGATGGCTCTCTGCCTCCCAAGTGATAGGATTAAAGGCGTGTGTGCCACCATTTTCTGGCCTCTGTAACTAGTGGCTGTTCTGTTCTCTGACCCCAGATAAGTTTATTAGGGTGCACAATATTTTGGGGAACACAGTATCGCCACAGTGCTCTGTATCCAGAAGGCCATATCTACCACCACTTGGGAGCATGTAAAAATCAGAACATGACTGTTACAGGGATGGTGTAAATTTGATGTTGTGGTTTTCAACATTGGGTGTTGTGTTTACGGTGATGTATGGATTTATGTTTCAATGTATTTCAAACTTTCCATTGTGTTTGACAAGTCTCTTTCATTGTACAAACATTAATTAAAGGAAGTTTTTATAATAATAATAATAATAGTTAAAAAATCAGTTAAAAGGTCAGCCAGTCTCATAAGCATAGTGTAAGCAAAATGCCTTTGGGGCACAGAATACTTGGACATCAGTATAGTAGGCTTTTATTTTCTATCTTTCGGGGAGGGAAATATGACTTCTGACATAATGCAAAGCTGAGGCTTATCCCTCACACATGGCGGTGTTGAATTAGTGGATTTCTGCCCATGTGATATGGTTCCCATGGCTACGGTGCTTCTCCTTATAGGAGGTTAGGGAATGTGTTACTCATGCTTCATATTACTATGACTAAATACCAAAGCTCCAAAAGTGCAAAAATAAACGTAAGGAAGGAAGGGTTTGTTTGCAGTCATGGTTTAAAATGATACAGTTCATCATGACAGGAAGGCACCGTGGCAAGGGTATGAAGCAGTTGGCCGTAAGCCTATAGTCAAGCATGGAGAAATGGATGCTATGTTCCACTTGATCTCTCTCTCTTTTCAGTCAGTCTGCAACCTGAGCCCATTGGGAAGGACCTTCATCCTCAGTTAAACCTTTCTGGAAACACTCTCACAGACACACCAAGAGATGTGTCTCCTAGCTGACTCTAAGCCCTGTGGACATCAAGCTGGACAGACAGCTAGGATGAGCTGTGAGAAGGGGCCTGCACATGAGAACCACTGTGTCTAGCCCATCATTAGAAGCAGGGTGAATAGAGCAGGTGTGCTGGGTTGGTAGAGTTGGGCAAACAGCAGTGTTGGGGCCTCTGCCTTGGAGCATGAAGCTCAAGGACACAGCTCTACCCCTTGGAAAGACTAAGGTCAGCAGGCCATGTGCCTGGTGGAATGGAGTAGAAGCAAGAAGGAAAATGAGGAGATGCATGGTGAGTCAGGTCTAGGAATCCAATCGTGACTGGCTCTGAGGCCACCATAGAGAAGAATGCTGGGCATAGGGAGCGAAGGTGTACAGACTGCAAGGAGTTTGACAGAGCTGGGTGTGACTCTGAGCTGGGAGCTCAGACAGCGAGCTGGTCCCAGGGTCTGGGCAAGGCTGAGCTGAGAGTGGAGACTAAATTGCTCCTGTCACAAGATTCAAGGAGCAGCAGAGAAGCACACAGGGTCGAGCTTTGACAATGATTTTCTCCTGATACCTGTTTCCCCATTTGATACAAATGTCTTGCAAGTTCCCCTACTGGCCAGGGTTCGTAGTCACTTATTTAGAATACGTACAGCAGGTTAATCTCCGTGCAATGAAATGAACACGCTGCAATAGGGTAGGGGAACCTGAGGTCTGGTTCAGTATTTTGCCAAGGGTCAATTGAATGTTTTTCTATAATGTATTCAAACCTTTCAGAGCATCTTTTGTCATTTTCACCTACCATGCATACAGATAGTTGGTCCAAGCTGCATGGCCATCTTCTCACCTTTTCAGGGTGAATACAACAGCACAGCTGGAAAGGACTTGGCTGAGATTTCTGGAGCCCACAGTGGTCTCTAGAAGGTCCGGGAAGTGGGAGCAACTTCCCCCAAGTGTAGGCCATGATGGATGCCTTGTAGAGAAGACAAAATGCCAATTTAAGGCAGGGCAGCTTTGTGTCATCACTGTTTGATGGCAATTCTCAGCAATGTTGGTGAAAACAGTCTCCAGAAATATTTCATTAGTTAAACTCTAAGCTATTGTTAGAGTTGGGGTTTTTTTGTTGTTGATGATGATTTTTGTTGTTGTTGTTGTTGTTGGTGGTGGTGGTGGTGGTTATGTAGAAACCATAGTTCAACATTGGTGTTCCTTTCCCTATTCCCTTCCTCCTTAATTTTTAAGATAGTCCCTCACAGAACCTCCATTGAACCTAGTGGCTAGACTGGATGGCCAGTGAGCTCCAGGAATCCACCTGTCTCCGTGCCCCTCCTCATCCCCTTTCTCAACTTCAGCACTAGAATTACACACCAGCCTTTACGTGGTTTCTAGGGATTGAACTCAAGTCCTCATGGTTTCCTTGCAGGCATTCATTCTACCAAGCGAGGCATCTTCCCAGTCAGTCCTACCATTGAGTTTCAATAACTTACACAAAAAGCTTTAAGCTGGCTTATGTTTCATGTGCCTTTTTTCAAGACAGGGTTACATGTAGCCCAAGTTGAATTCACTGTATAGTTGAAGAGAACTTTGAATTTCTCATTCTCCTGCCTCTACATCCTGCGTGTGTAGTAGAATATTATTTTAAGGTGTGTTACTTTTGTTTATGTTGCATTTGTTTAACTCTGTGAAGCTGTGTTACTGTGCCTGTCTAAAACACCTGATGGTCTAATAAAGAACTGGCCAATAGCAAGGCAGGAGAGAGGATAGGCAGGGCTGGCAGGCAGAGAGGATATATAGAAGGAGAAAACTGGGAGGAGGGATCTAAGATCTAGGAGCCAGAGTAGGAGGAGGACTTTGGGGGCCAGCCACCCAGCTACACAGCAAGCCATGGAATAAGAAACAAAGAAAGGTATGAAAGAATAGAAAAGGAAAAGCCCAGAGGCAAAAGATAGATGGGTTAATTTAAAGTTAAGAAAAACTGGCTAGAAACTAAACCAAACTAAGGCCTGGCGTTCATAATTAAGAATAAGCCTCCATATGTGATTTATTTGGGAACTAGGTTGCGGGCCCCCCAAAAAGGAGTAAAAAACAAACAGCATGAGTATTTGGGATACGGACATGTACCATAACACCCTGTCTTATGCAGTGCTAGGGACTGAACCATGGCTCTGCTGCATGCTAGACAAACACCGTTCCAACTGTGCTATGTCCCTAGCCCTATAAACATTCTCTTCTGCATCCCCATCAAATGCAGACCCCACCCTCCATTTCCATCTTGAAAGATACTTTAAATCATCTGAGTGCATTTCTAATGCCATTCATGTCCCTTGTCCTTAGAGACTGATTACGTATCCTTGCATTTAAAGAGTCACCTGGGACTGAGCACCAGGCAAAGTGATGGCTGAGACCTAAAACAGATTCTGAATGTCTTCAGTGCAGGTCTTCTAGGTGACTCCATTGTGAGATGGGGTATGAACAAAAGAAAAATGTTCTGGTTTTATAAGGGCAAATTTTAGTTTATATTTTGCTGATTTTGAATAATACCTTTGAAACTGGAATATATTTCTTTTAAATTGTTGTCTTAAAACTAAAGAATGGATAAAGAACAAATGATTGCTTTATGGCTTATGATTACGGATGAAAAGGATGTGGGCATAAAGCCAGGGTAAGCATGGAAGTCATCTGCTGTGGGTTTCTCACGCTCTGGGAATGCCATTCACTGCCTCCCTCTCACGCCTTTGCAGTTGCTGGTCAACACCCTCCTAAGAACAAGCGTGCCAAGGAGCAAGGAGAAAACAGGATCAAACCTACCAACAAAAAGGCCAAACCCAAGATTCCAAAAGTAAAGGACAGGGACTCAGCTGACTCCACACCAAAGAGCCAGTCCATCATGATGCAGGCCATGGACAGCGGCCGCTTCCAGAAGCCTGCTGCTACGATGAGTCTGATGGCCGGACAAACGGTAGAGCTCCGCTGTAAAGGAAGCAAAGTGGAGTGGAGTTACCCCGCCTACCTGGACACCTTCAAGGACTCCCGACTCAGGTGAGTGCCATTGGCCGCTGGCTTCCTGCTCACTGAAATGGGCCAAGAGTTTGATTTTTCTTCCATCATTTGATGCTGTATTACCTCTGACACACACTACCACATTCCACGTGACTGTAAAATAGAAAGACTTTAGTGTTGTCACCCTTCTAGGTGACCACCACTGTGAGATGGAGTATGAACGATAGAATAATGTTCTGGTTTAATTTTTTTTTTAAGGAAATGCATTTTCCCCCTTTTACTGAAAATAGATTCTTTTCTCACATATTATAACCAGATTACGGTTTCTCCTCCCTCTACTCCTCCCAGCTCCTCCCCCACCTCCCCTCCCATCTGAATCCCTCTCTCTTTCTGTCTCTCATTTAAAAATAAGCTTCTAAGAGGCAATAATAAAATATAGTAAGATGAAGCCAATCGTCATGTCAGAGTTGGCCAAGACCAATCAAGAGAAGGAAAAGAGCCTAAGAGAAGGCACAAGAATCAGACTCATTTAGAACTCAGGAATCCCATAAAAACACTAAACTGGAAGTCAATGTTAATATTCTGACCTGACCCTTGGGGCTTCCCTATGTTCTGACATAAAGGAAAAACTCCTCCCCTTCCTCTCTCTCTTTTTCTCTCTCTCTCCCTCTCTGCCCTACCACGAGGTGTGTACCCCTCGACCCCCCTCTCTCTTTCTCTCTTTCTCTCTCCTCTCCCTCTTTCCTATCTTTTCTTTGTCTCTCTATTATAATAACCCAGATGCTACATTGCGCGTGGAAATGGTTTGTGAATGTCCACCCACCGCCCTGCCGCCATGCCCCGCATGGCCTGGGTTGTCCCACTGCTGCATCTACCCAGCATGCCAGCATGCTTTTCCTCACGGTGGGATACCCTGCCCTGGCCAGCTGGGGGTCCCCACTTATGCATAATTCATAACATTGGTGCTCAAGATGACCTGGAGCAGACCTGTGCAGGTTCTGTGCATGCTGATTCGGTTTCTGTGAGTTCATATGAGCTTTGCTCATGTTGATTTAGAAGGACTTGTTTCCCTTGTATCCTCTGTACTGTCTGGCTCTTACATTCTTTCTGCCCCCTCTTCCTTGGGGTTCCCTGAGCTTTGAGGGGAGGAATTTGATGGAGACATCCCATTCAAGGCTGAATGTTCCAAAGTATTTTTTCTGTTCTGGTTTTATAAGGACAAATTTTAGTGCTTATCTTGCTGATTTTGAATAAGATCTTTGAAGCTGAAATGCATTCCTTTTAAACTATCATCTTAAAACTAAAGAATGAATGAAGAAAATATGATTGCTTTATGATATTGGCAGAAATTAGGGAAATTCTTTCCCCAGTTAAAATATTGCCACTCATCCCACAAATTTAAAGGAAACCATAAGACAAAAATAATAGGAAACTGAACTTTTGTAGAGAAATGTAATGCACAGAAATTAATATTTAATAATTCATTGAGTGAAAAAATAATGTATTCAATGTTTTATATTCTTTTAAACAATCATAAGGAAAACCAAAATGACTGATTAGATTCCTATAAGCAAACTGCCTAGAGATCAATTTTAATGACTTTGAAACCTTTCATTTGTATATGATTAGTTTTACTTTTGTGAATATATGATTGATACAAAGACCAAAGATTTGTTATGTCTGAATGACTATCTTCTGGGAGTGGAGCTTCTTCAGGAATGGTGGTTAAGATGATAGAAGGCTAAAAAGGTGGTGCTCAGTGGCAGAGATCTTATCTAGTGTGTGCAAAGTTTTGGGTCCAGAAAGCACACATATACACACACAGAAAGAGAGAGAGAGAGAGAGAGAGAGAGAGAGAGAGAGAGAGAGAGAGAGAGAGAGAGGAAAAAGAAGGAGGAGGAGGAGGAGGAGGAGGAGGAAGGAGGAGCCAACTATAATGTGCCGGAATGTTCAGGGTTAAAACTCTGTGTGTCTTGGAGAAAATCACCTAAATAATTTGGGTCTTGGTTTCCTTGGGCACAGAATGAAGGAGCAGGATGTCATGATTATAACAGTCTGTGTGATGGCTATTCTTGGTTGTCAATTTGACTACATCTGGAATTAACTAAAACTTAAGTGGCTGGGTATGCCTGTGAGGGATTTTTTCCGTAGATTTATTCTATAAGTTCTGTTCCTTTAGAGAATGCTGACTAATACAGATTTTGCCACCAGAAGTGGTTCTAGAGCAACTGAAGTATAAAGATAAATTTTCTTAGGTATCTGGAATAGGCTTTCCAATTTGCCAACACCTAGTTATTGACATCTCTTTAGTTACTGAAATCTCCCCTAGAAACTCAGAGTACTAAAAGTCCATGGTGTGAAATACAGACACATTAAGGATGGATACAAACTTAGGGAGACAAATCTATTTGATTATACTGACTCATCAGTTATGAGAGGCAACAGATTTCATGATTCTGTATATAAAACTGTGTATCCTGCATATTGGGCATTAACAGCTTAGACGCAAGTTGCAAAACATCAGTAGCAAACTTCTGCCCTCCGGTGTTCTCCCATTGTGCGTAAGCCTGTATTTAAGACCTCTTCCCTCCTTCAATAAACGGCATTTGGCATTCAAAAAAATGAAATAAAAAATGCATATCTAAGAAAATTTTTAAAAAAAGAAATTTCGACAAGTGTGGGAAAACAAGGAAAATGATGACTCTGGTTGGTTGCTCCTAGAACTCATGAACAAAGTGACAAAGGGAAAGAATGAGCTCCATGATAAAATTAACCAACTTCTAGCATCTCAGAGTATGGTGAAGGACAACAGTGAATGCAGTGAAAAAACTGACCATTTCCAGATGCGTATAAACAGTCTAAAGTTTCAAAGTGAGCCCTGGAAGAGAATCTTCTCTCCAGAGGCCACAGAGCTCAAAGAAAATCAAACCAAAGCCTATAAGGTTGGCTGAATTAGAGCAAAAATCCAAGTTCCAGCCGTAGAGGGTGTCAGCAGTTAAAGTAAGGGGCATTAATTGTTAAGAGAATGGGATCTTGTAACTTGGGATGGAGGTGAGTGGGAGGACCATATTGAGGCTGAGAATTTTGAACCCTCGGGTTCTCAAGTGTAGTGTTTCTCACCTGAGAAAGCAGTCTCTGCACCCTCAGCAGAAGATGTACTCACACCTCCACCCCCTGAAATACTGCTGTGATGGTTCATTTTCCGTCAACTTGACACAAGCTAATGTCATCTATGAGGAAAGAATCTCAATTAAGAAAATGCCTCCATAAGATCAGGTTGTAGGCAAGCCTGTAGGATATATTTGTAATTGTTCATTGATAGGGGAAGGCCCAGCCCATTGTGGATGATTCCACCCCTGGGCTGGTGGTTCTGGGTTCTTTAAGAAATCAGGCTGAGCAAGCAAGAAAGCAGGAGCAAATCAATAAGCAGTACCCCTCCATGGCCTTTGCATCAGCTCCAGCCTCCAGGTTCCTGCCCTGTGTGGGTTCCTGCCCTCATTAATCTGATGTGATGAACTGTTATAAGGAACTGTGAGTGAAATAAACCCATTCCTCCCCTAGTTGCTTTTGGTCATGGTATTTAATTATAGCAATAATAACCCTAATTAAGACAATTGCCTTTTCCTCCTTGGACTGTGGAAATCAATCCTTACCAGCAGTGACCCTATCTGAAGGAGATGCCAGGCAAGACAATACTTAGGGCCCACCAACGGTTGCCTCTAGACCTATAGCCAGACTTAAGGCTAAGCAGGCTCCTAGGAGGGAAGTAGAGAGTATAGTCCATAAAGTGTGCTACCCTACTAAATAGCTTAAGTTTTCTAATTCATTCAAGCAGAAGTCTGGGGAATGGATTTTAAGGGTGTAGGATAATGGTGGAAGGAACATCCAACTGGATCAGCCTGAGTTTATTGATACAGGCTTGCTAAGCGGAGATTCTAGGTTTAATATGGACACTGACACATATATTTTGAAAAATGTCAAAAGTCTGAATGGTTGGCTGAAGCATTTATCAAGAGACGGCTGACTGAAAAAAAGAGTTGGAGATGCCTGATATCTCTTGGCTTGGTGTTGATGAAGGGATTGTAAGGCTTAGGGAAATTGCAATGCTGGAGTGGGTGTGATGTGTAAAGCCTAATCCACCACAATTTGAAGGCCCGCAAGACATGCCCTTCACTAATCCTATAAGGTGCAAATTGCTGAGAGGGGCACCAGCACATTTGAAGAGTGTGTGCCCTCCTGCCCTTGTGCCAGACCTTAGGGCTGGAGATGCTGCTGCTCAGTTAGATAAATTAAATGCAACAGGCTCAACTGGAGCTCAGAGCAGCATTGAGTCAGGTGGCAACACTGAGTCTCCAAGGCAACATGACTGTTGTTATCTTAGTGGGCAGCATAGGCAAAGCCATATCGATAATGGTCTGACCATAACAGTCAGCATGGGCAAAGTGAATTTTATGATGGCATGACCTTTGGTACTGGGTAATCAATCATGGCATTTCCAGGTATGGACTAGATAAGAAGACTACTGCATTTCTGTTTGATCTTTTTAAGTGGGAAAATTCTCAAACAAATGAGAGAAAGCTTCCACTGGATTGTGGCGAAAAAGGAATCTCAGCCCATGAACCAGCTTCCAACTTGAGGAAGTTTGCAGACCCAGAACCCCTCAGATGAAGTTTCCCGTGAGGAAGGACCTTGATAAAACACCTAAAAGTTTTACTGTTAGCCTTTTTTGAGTCCTTCCCAAGAAGGACCTACAGCCTTTGACAAGGGTAACTGTAAACTGGTGGAAAAGAAATAATCAGACTTCCCTGGGTCTATTGGATACGGTTCTGTATTGATGCTGTTTCTGCGAGACCCCAAGAAACATTGCAGCTCTCCTGTTAAAGTAGAGGCGAACGGAGGTCAAGTGATTAATTGAGTTTTAGCTGGTCTGACTCATCATAGGTTCCCAAACTCATCCTGTGGTTATTTCCATAGTTCCAGAATGTGTATTTGGGATAAATATACTTAGACATTAGCAGAATCCTCACATTGATTTCCCA